TTATGATTTATCATAGGTTTTTCTGTGTGATTTTAATTTATTGTTAAATTTTATCTTTTTTCATATCATTATATGATATTATATAATATATAAATAATCATGTTAATACAACAAGATAATAATTAATTATTACTACATCCAATTTGTTTAAGAATTAAGAAAATAATTGAAATAAATTAGGAAATATGAACAAAAATAGTAAAGTACACGTCTTTCATACGTAGAAATTAAATGTTTTGCCTTTTGGTGGAGGTGGGGGAGGTGGAATTCGAGACAGCTATTTTTTTTATCATTGCGAAGATTGACGAGTCCGCGGGCTAGTATAATATATTATCAACTATCTCAGTGGCATTATTAATTTATTATCAGTCATAATCATCAATAATAAAATTACTATTTCTATAATTAGTTAGGTACAACTTTTGTTACCAGCTAAAATATTTTTTTAATTAGCATTTAAGCCAATAATAGCGAAAATTACAAGCTATTATATCTAATTATTTATGAAAATATCAAAACCTATTTTTATTAAATTGTATTTTTGATCTAAATATTAAATAATAATGTAATAAGTATTTCAATTTCAATTTTTTTTTTTTTAGTGGCAAGAGCTTCACAAGAACTCATGTTATTTATGAAAACGAATCAAGTAAACCCATTGAAGGGTATGATACTACCAGCTATTCAAGTAATTTACAATCAATCCTAAAAAATGATCTTTTAACAATAATCTACCTTTTTGTTTGTAGTTTCCTATATTTTTAAGTATGTTTTTGGGATTACGAGGAATGGCAATGTTACCTTTAGAAAGTTTCAAATATGGCGGTCTTTGGTGGTTCTCAGATATCACGTTGCCTGACCAATATTTCATATTGCCTGTTGTTACTGTCATTACTCTTGGTGTGACATTAGAGGTATTGTATTGTAGCTATAAAAATATGTATATTTATATTGATTAATTAGTTTTTCAAACATTTTAGCTTGGAGCAGATATTGGTAAACTTACTTCCTCGGGTGTAGGATTTGGAAAGTATCTTAAATATGGAGTACGTGTATTACCTCTTGTTGTGTTTCCTTTTATTGTAAATTTCCCATGTGTGAGTATCAATTTAACTAAATATTTTTATTTTAACTTTTTCAAAACAACATTGATATCAAAAAGATTATGAACTATATTTGTATTAATGACCAAATATTCTGTCCCTTTTATTATTTAATTAGCTAAGTCTCTAACATTTAATAATCTATATCAAACAATTGAATAGATATTTTGTTGCTTGACAATATTGTAATTTTAAGAAAAACTAACTGTGTAATTTATCAATGTATAACTTTATTTATTTTTTAGGCAGTATGTTTATACTGGGCATCTACCAACTTCATTTCACTAGGCCAAGTACTATTTTTGAAAATACCAAGGGTAAGGAATTATTTTAATATAGAAGAAAAGAGGAGTGTAGAAAAACCAAAGTCAAAAAAGAAAGGAGTAATTGGAGAGTTTAAAGAATGTAAGAAATTGTACTTAGTTTTCTTAAAAACACAATATTCTTAAAATAATCATACGCACTTCTTTTCATAGCATGGAAAAATATGCAAGTTGTTAAAGAAATTGAAGAGAGGGAACGTTTAGATCATATGAAATTCACGCAAGCCGGCCGAGCAGCACCAGTTAAAACGTTTAAATATAATCCAAAAATTGTTGGAGGCATCAAAAAGGAAAATTAATGCAAATCATTGTAGTTTAGTTTCTGTTTGTTTTTATATAATATAATATACTATTCAATATATAAAATGTATTAATTATAACTATATTTATATGTATATAATATATATACATACACACAATTTATCTTTAAGGGTCGGGCCACACATAGYGGTCGAGCCGCAGCGGTTCAACCGCTCAACAAATTTAAATTGTTTTATTTTAAATGCAACCGCCCGATACGCGTTCACACTTACGTGGTTCAGCCGCGGAAATTGCTGCGGTCCAAAAATTGACCGCAACATGTCGCGGTTGACCCGCGTGCGGTTCRACTGCCCAAATGATCAAAACACATTGTTTTGAATTAGTCCGTTCACACATAGTCGCGGTTCATTTTTTCAGAGATCATTTGCATTAAAAAAAAAGAATTCCAATAGTGGGGCCTAAGGTTTATRGTAACTTTCATAACCTAAAATTACACTGTTTTTTTATTTGTAAAAAAAACTGATGTTTTAAAATATAATTTAAATTTTTTTTATCAAATCTATTATAAAATACATGAAAATCTGGTATATTTTCTTTTGGAACAGYGTGCATGTCAACAGTAGTATTACGAGCATGTCAACTGTAGTATATGGTACTATTAATTACTAAGTTTTAAAATATAATAATTTTTCAATCACCCAATACTTTGGTATAACCGCACGCGGTTCGACCGCGCACATGTGAACGGTAATCTGGCGGTTGAACCGCTGCTGCTCGACCGCTATGTGTGGCCTGACCCTAAGAGAGCAAGGAAATGTTAAGACTAAATTGCAATTAGTGACCAATAAATTTAAGACTTTGGATCATAGAGAAAAGGTAGGTCCTAAATTTCAAGTCTCCCCCCCATCAAAAAAAAAATTCTTTAATTTTTCATAAGCATATTCAATATTGTATTAGGGCTTCAGCTCCCCCACTCCCAAAGATCGATTTGCAAGTTTGTTGTTGATACATGTGTATTCTCCAAAGCTACAGCCACTCTTTCTGTGACATAATTACTTATTGATGGGGTATTTATGATGCTTGTCGATATGAGTACCTGATGTAATGTTTAAAACATTTTTTAAAACACGGTGATGAACACCATACATTTCTAACTTAAATAGAAAATTCAAAGAATGTAGTCATACTGCAATATAAAATAATTGGTATGAATAAAACATTGACTGTATTAGTACTATATTCAACCTAAAACATCAAAATACATTTTTTTAAATCATATTATATTGTATCAAGTATATATATGGCATTAGATATTTCAGAATCTCGTTTTTACCAAAGATTTCCTTTAAATTTAACTCTGATTTTATTGTTGTCATAATCCTAATCTGTTTCACTTAGTTGGGTTTTTGTTTTTTTGGACTTAATTGAATTTCAATAGAAGTATCTAACTCAATATAGTATAATATATAGAACCAATTTTAATTGTTTAGGCAGGTATAGGTAGTTTTTAATGAATATTTTTAAATGATATTAAAGTAATACAAACATTTTTTTACAAATTTAATTGTTTATTCATAATAGTTATTAAACTGTTTATGAGTATAATTTAGGTATATCATATTTTCAATAAGCAATACAAAAAAAAAAGGAAACAAATTGACTTATGTATTTATAAAATAAAAAGATAATAAATGTACATTTTTTTTKAATACTTCACAATAGTGTGTATTAGAACAAATAAATTAAAATTAACGTTTATGAATAAAAGAATTCATATTAGAAAACACAACAAAACAATTATTTATTCAATCTTTCTTAATGATCATCGCAACATCTTCATCATTTAAAAATAAATGTATAAGATGCCCATCAACGTAATTGTTTTCAGTTAGTATCATCATAAACTCTGTTTTAGTATTACATATTTGTTTTAGTTTATGCACACTGAAGTATTTCTCATCCAATCCTAATGAACAGYGTAAAGTCAAGTATTTAATGTTTTGTAGGTGTTTAGGAAGCTCGAATAATTTTTCTACATTTACCACACTACTTCCCATATCCACCAACATTATATCCATTGAACCTCTAAACTTAGTTTTTAATTCTGCACGATACCAGATATTGTTCACCAAAGCTCCATACATTTTACAATATTTTGGTTTTTCAACAGGATTTAAAGTTTTAATTATACTTAATTCAGCCAATACAACTTGTCTACTAGGAGGATTTATTTGAACTGTYAGCATATTTAAATGAATAACATTAAATATAATCACTGGAATAGGTTTGATTAGTTTGGCCACATTAAAATCATCAACAAAKAGTTCAACTACAGTAGGTTCGCCAGTTTTTTTTACAGTTAAAATCATCTTTTTCTGTTTACATTGTTCCATTTCATTCACAAAACTTTTTGATAAACACTCAGAAAGCCTTTTATTTTCAATTTTAGCTGGAATATGTAATGAACATAGTTTTATAAATGGAGGAGCTGTTTTTAAATAACCAACTGCTTCATAGAATTCTGAACATTTGTCTTGAACTCCATAATCAATGAAATAACAAGTACACTCACCTTCCTTGTGTATCATTAAAATTCTTACTCTGTACCATCTATTGTCAGTTTTACTTTTTGCAATWGCCATTTTACCAATCTTATATTCAGTTAATGGTTCCCAAACAGTTTCATTTTCAAGTATATATTCAATTTTATTTTGTATTACTTTACTATCTTCAGTTTCTACATAGAATTCATTTATTGACTGAGCATAAATAAAATTCACAACCATTTTTGCACCAGATTKATCAATTGTCTTCAAGTTTTCATATGTCTTGGGGGTAATTCCATATGAAATAATGTTATTTACTAATATTTTTATACATCTATCATCCCACTTCATACTCACCAAATAGGTTTCTTCATTGTTTAAAAATGTTACAATTACTTCTATAGATCCTAAAAAGTCAAAAATAATATCATATATATCATTTACAGTTGTAATTACATATTCTTCATGTTCCACATCATCAAGCATGCAATGATAAGCCATTGCATGGTGACAGGCTATTTTTTCAGGTAGTATTTTAAGATTTGACGACAACTCTGAATTTCCATAATCAATAAATTGAACTGTATAAGAGTTTTCTTCAATATTTAAAATTTTAGCTCTATACCAAAGACCATCATTTTCATATTTTGCTGCAACTAGATCTCCGGGCATCATGGAAACCAACATTGAACCTTCATTTTCAAGGAGTTGAAGACTTGTTGCTATATCTTGAATAATCTGTTGATCATTTTTATTTTGAATATAAAAGTTCTTAAATGAATAAAAATATGAAATATAGGCATTCCAACATTTAACTTCCATAGTATTCAGTTTACCACCTGTTAAGTAAACATATTGGAAAATTAATACAACCAAAAACCTAATTTACATGTAGTTATATTTAACAGTTAATCTGGAATATACATCGATTTATTTTAATAATTAAAATTTGTTTATATTAGTCAATAATGTTTACACTGTACAACAATATTGATTTGTGACAATATCAATCGATAAATATCACTTATATCAATCTTAACATTTTTAATACTCTATAGTTTATAGGAGGAGGTGGCAAATTTTTGGACATTACATTCCAAAAATCCCTTTTTTTTCAAGCCATGAAAAATATTATACATTATATAGCCAATATATATATAATAGAAATATTTTAATTTATTCCATGCCGTCAAAATCTTATTGTGTGCCATGAATTTGTCATTCCTGGTCTATAGGTAGGTASATAATAAATTAATACCTAATTAATTGTAAAAACAGAAATGATTTGCAGGGTTAGAGCCATTAAGAGGACACTACACCCGCATGTGCTGTCTCTGTCTTACACGCGTACTACATAGCAAATTTTTGTTCGCTAGATTCAATAGTGTGCTGTTAGTTTTAATATTAGAGTGAATTGACCCATTATCAAACTTTTAGGTAAGAACATTATCTGTGTTCTAATGTTGGTTTTTTTACGATATTTTAATTTTTAAATGAGTTATGTGAATTTTCAAATACCCACACTTAACATGCTCATAACTCAATTAAAAATTAAAATATCATAAAAAACCAACATGAGAACACAGATAATGTTCTTACCTAAAAGTTTGATAATGTGTCAATTCACTCTAATATCAAAACTAATAGCACACTATTGAATCTAGTGAACGAAAATTTGCTATGTAGTATGCGTGTAAGACAGAGACAACACATGACAGTGTAGCGTCCTCTTAAAGGATAAAAATATATCAAAATAATACTCATATAAGAAATAAAAATAAATATCATCACGAAAAAAATAAKAATGATACTTTATAATTTATAATGTTTCTACCTACCATCAGTGGCGCTGAAGTCTTAAAAATCTAGTAGGGCGAAAAATATTTCAAGAGGCCCAACATCTTAATATCGGAAAAAATGGCATACCGTGGAGAAGAAAATGGTCAATATGAAGCGGCCCTATCTAAATTTTCAAAATATGTCGGGCCATGGCCCGACCTTAACATAGGGTTCGGCGCCACTGCCTACCATATTAGTAAAAATAACTTCATCACACTATGCTATGCCAACTCAATATCTAATCAATAAACAAGGTTACTAGAATCTTTAAGAATATCYATAAAACAATTAAAAATATCAATGTAAATTATAGGTATTCATTTTATTGTTTGGATTCTAAAAGAATGTTAGTGGATTAGTGTTTTAATTCTACATTTGGTTTTAGGGTACCTACATTAAAAATTTTAAAACGTCATTACTTCAAAAGTAAAGTAGATACCTGTATTATTTAAAATTTCATTTATCTTACTTGATAAATAATTAAATTTTTTTTTACATATTATATTATATTCTAGAATACTTAAGATCAAAAATACAGTATGATCACAATATTAGGTACTACTGAATATCTCAGCTGGGTGACCTAGTACCTATTAAAATGAGGTTTTCGGAAGTTGATATGAAGTACTTAAATACATATTTTCAGATCAATTTCAAATTTTTAGCTCTCTCAGTACSCGCAAGTCCAAATTTTGATTTACTTTAACTTGGTCAGTTTTGTAAAAAAAAAAAACTTTTTAAGAATAAATGTTTTAAAAAAAATTCTCTATCTAATTTACAGAAAACAATTTGGGTAGCCATTTAAAAAAAGTAAGTTATATTGCGCATGTGTGTACCGAGRGAGCTAAAAATTTGAAATTGGTCTGATGATATGTATTTAATTACTCCCTATCACTTCCCGAAAACCCCATTTCAATACAATGTCACCCAGCTAAAGGTATTCAATGGTACCTAATATTGTGATATTATATATATATATACACTGTATAATATATATATAAACAAAAGTTAAATCTATCCGTATGTTTTGAATTCTTAAAGAATATTAAGTACTYATTCAATTTCTACTGTTTGTAGGTGCCATTAAATATGTATCAAACACCTAGTACCAATTTTAAAGAAATTTTTTCTGAAAGGTCGCTAAGCYTTGATTGCGCCTACCTATGAATAGTTGGTTCAATAAACAAAAAATGTAATGGCAATGACAATTAATACGACCACAGATATATAAGATATAGCTATAGATATAGTTTATATACCTGTGAACATGGCTATGAAAATAAATAAATACAAACATACATAATGTTTAATTAAAGTCTGTGATGCAGCCAAGAATATGTAAGGGAAGGGGTTAAGTATAAATTAAACTAAGTTTTTAATAGTTTTTATACATAAATAATAAATTTCTTAGAGGGAAAAACAACCAATATCCCCCCAGACTATGACATTGATTATAATACATAAATTTGCAAATAAAACACCAAACCCGCATGTTATCTCAGTTATACAAACGTAGAATTATTTAGAATGTAGCAATTTGCATTCAGCAGAATCAATTCTATGTTGTTACCGTTAGTAATAGAGTGAATAGACTTATTAACAAACATAAGACAATAAATATAAGAATATTATCTTACCTCAGGATTTTTTTGATAATTTAATTTTAAAATGAATAACAATTGGGTATGTACCAAGGCACTGAAGGCACCTACATAAAATTTAATTCAATGAGATAAGTAATGCTCTGAAAAATATTTGAATAATTTTATTTAATAATAGGTCAATTTACTTAAATATTTAAGCTAGGTAACAACACAATATTGATTCTTTTAAACACAGATTTACAATATTGTAAGCTTGACGCTTGTTAACACATATGAGTTTAGCAACATTAGCATAATAATRCAATTGATAAAATACTTCTATTAATGATGTCGGTKGATCCCAGAGATGAGATTCACAATATAACCTAATAATAGTGTCTTTCTCATTGAATCATCAGGAATCACWGTACTGTATTAACACAATGCTAATTATTCTTGCATTGCAGTAACATCTAACCGCCTTTTGTGGAAGCCTTTATATCTGGGACTTTCTGGAGATATTATATGCGTTAATAGTACTTAATACACACTATGTGAATTAAATWAATGTACCGATAAGTAATAGTAATTATAATTAATTATATAAATATGTCATGATCCTTAAAGAAAATAATAAATTATGTGAATATTATACTATATAAGTAGGTATGTTTACAATTTTCAGTTTCTTAACAGTCTTTTAAGTTATTTGTCAAGAATCTGTTAATCTTCTGTATTGTATTACATATTTACATTTAMATTTACACTTACTCATGGTATCGTTATGATGATCTACGAAGATTGTAACCGAACACTTGAACTACGACGACAAGATTTTTACATTTTAAGAACATATAAGCATGGTAACGAAATATCATCACGAACCGGGGACTGGTGAGACGACTAGTAATGAGTGTCAACTGTCAATATTCGGTAAACGTTAACCTTAACAAATTCACAAAATCCTTAATACACGTTGCACGTGCTCAATCGTCGCATCGTGCAGTCACACTCAGCACCTTAGATCGGCACAACACACACCACAAACACTGTCATAATTATACCATAATAATTACTATAAGTTACCTATAAATATTATAGGTATAACAATTATTACACATTAATATTAATAAATATTATTAAATGCGGAATTACGTAAAGTATGTTTACAAAGTGCACAGCTGMCAGAGGTACAGACAGTGGTACAGCACTACAGAAGTATAGAAGTCAGAATCAGAAACACCGCCACACGGCCACGCGCCCACACGGCACACACAAGCGAATACRGTAAATGAATGACAATAAATAATAATACATTAGGTAATTGCGGGTAATGCGGGTAGGGTACCTAGGTAATTGATTAATACGGTATAATATTATCATTTACCATAATATTTCAAATTCTAAATATAGCTGTTAACAATTAACATTCAACACGATAATGGAATAATATTATTGTTCATTTTTTTTTATTCCAAGTTATAAATATCAAGGTAATATAAATTTAATACACATAATACACTTAATTTTTTTTTATTTTGGCTCATTTGTGTACATTTTGTTAAAAATCYATCAATTTTAGGTTCACCTAAAATAAGTATGAACGTAACAGGTGTACACTGTACAGACTAACAGTTTACAGTTGTATGCCCGTGCAAGTTGCAAGTACCTTTATAGCGGTGACGCGGTGTATACTGGTATAAGTAATTGGGTTATCTGTCGCTGGATTAAAATATCTATTTATTTAATCTTACTTAGAAGGTAGTGTGCTACAGATCACGAGATTCATTAAGCATGTACACTGTGTACGTAAACCTATAATAAATTCTATAATTTAATTTTTTTACTCATTAACTTGGATCTTAAATATTTGTAAAATCTCTATAAACTTTTAAAACTTAAAATTATGCCACACCGCCCACACCAGAATGTAATGTCACCCTGACCATAATATTTTAAATGTAAGTAGTACGTAGGTAGTAGGTACGTACTATTACAATGATGTTATATTCACACATATTCTTAACAAATTAAATAAAATGCAACAGTTCAAAAAACAACGGCCAGACTGTTAGATAAATCGAAAATTTCTAGATATGCAAAAAACCTTTTGAAAAGGGCAAGGACGCATGTCTCTCTCTCTGGCCTGCATATCCAGTAGCGAGCGCCAGCCATTTCAGTAACATCCTCCCAATACCGAGTCCTGCGAGTGACAACTGCCCGTCTTGTGACRATAAATAATCCATGTGATTAAATATTTAGAATCGAGTATTTTGTATAATGAGTTGTCGTATTGTATCACCCAGACGGCCAGACCCAGCGTATATTATATTTGTAAGGGGCTGTTGAGCATTGTTTGCAATATTGTGAAAATTTTTTGCGCTGTTAGAACTTGAAATACATTTTTATGTTGTTGATAATGTAATAATGATAATAATAATGGCGAGGACTGAGAAGGTTGGTGAAATGATACAAAAATTATATTTTTGAATAACCACCGTCCGGCGTCCACCGATGTCATAATAGTGTGGTAACTGGTAACATTGATTAATGATTATAAATACTATAGATCACTCACTGCAATACAAAAATACAAAATACGTTGCGCCGGCCAACACAATCGGATACCGCTTTAAGGCGTTGCGGTCGCCTTGTTGATCGGATAACGTCGTGACATGTAATCGCTAGTGTCGCTTTGGTCAGCGGCCGTCGCGTTATGATCGTCTGCGGTGATAACAATGGAAATATGGCTATTTTTAAACATGTTTCCTGCCTAAATAGYTACAAAAATATTGTTTACAACTACAATRGAAAATCTGAAAACGGTTAAAATTAATCATTCATATACTCCATAGTCCATTGTCTCCATTGAGTTTTGAGTTCATTCGAATATCGACATTCGCACACACCTACATTTAATTGCATTTAAATAATTAGGCGAATTTTTTAAGAAAATCTAAATTTATTGCGCTTATAATTTTTAAATTCACTAAAAAATGTCGGGAGGTGAAAAATGCATGTACTTTAACTGCTATAAAACGTGGAAGACAAGCAATAATGTTTTTCATGTCTTTCCATCAAATCCAGAAATTTTAAGAACATGGATAGTGAATTCTGGTAAATATTTTTTTAAAGAGTAGGTATACAAAATTAAAAATGTAGAGTAATTGGAACAAATGCACTTTACCAACCCCCTCACGATTTTCAAAAAAATTTTTTTTAACCGACTTGTTTTTTTATGCTTAAAACGATGGTGTAATCTTTTTTTTTACCGGAAACTATTATTTTAGAAGTTATAGCCTTCCAAAGTTTACGATTTTACGCTTATGTGTTTGCGGGCAAAGCTATAAGACAGCCACTATAACAAATTTTTATTATTTTTTTTATGTATTTTAACCAGYTGTGGGACATAGTAATTTTCGGGTGAAAAAAATGGAATAATTGCACTTTAGCTCTCACACGATTTTTTCGAATTTTTTTGAAGTTTTTGTTAGAGTATGACAAGTATAGTAGCTCCGGAGGACCTCGAGTTGGATGGGGGCTCGGCGACCCCACGGGGCTAAAATAGCAAACCTGTGGTGGTGGGAGGAGGGGAGCATACCTGGCCTGCGGGTAAGACCTAACGGCAGACCTAACAAGTAAATTTAACCTTGTTAGTAAAAGTAACACGACTCCGATCGCCAAACTCAAGGGACCTCCATCCACCACTGGGGCTAAAATAGCAAACCTATGCAACAGAGTATAAATATACCAATTATCTTTATGATAACAGAATAAGCTATATTAAGTTGTTTTACTATTATCTTCAGGTAGGCAACTTGCTAATGGGTACCTTTGTTCTATATAGTATATACTATAACTAAACTTACCAAACGAGTGACCCAATTATATAATTACCCACCTAGACGATGATTGATGATTATGCGATATAAATACATTATAAATTGTATAAATAAGTAATATCATTAAATATGTTGTACCATTGATTATAAATACTATTTATAATCAATGGTTGTACCTACCTACAGTATTTATTTATTATTATTACGCGCGCCCTTTTAACTGTTGTGTTATGCAATAGGTTAGGTTAACCTAACCTTGGAAGGCTATAACTTCTAAACTAATAGTTTCCGGTAAAAAAAATTACACCATCGTTTTCAGCATAAAAAAACAAGTCGCTTAAAAAAAAAAAATTTGAAAATTGTGAGGGGGTTGGTAAAGTGCATTTTAGCCGAGTATTTTAATAAACAAATAGTATTAAATTTTATATTTTTTCTTAATTTATTTTAGGGAATATATTATGTTTGGAAGCCTTAGATCCGAAAAAGTTAAAAACGATACATTTGTTCGGATAATTTTAAAAAAGAAATGTATATAAATGCTAATGATCCTAAATCACGGATTATTACAAATGCTGTTCCTAATAAAATATATTCAAGTAAATAATTTAATTAATTAATAAAACTCAAATTCTATAAGTACGTACAACAAATCTCATCAAAATATTTTGAAAATTTCATTGTAAAATAAAAATAATTAATAATTTACAAATATATTTTATAGAATTAATTACAGAGGCCACTAGGTGTAAAAATCCATCGTCCATCGAAGCCATCAAAGGAAATTATTGAAGATTCAATTTATTCAACCGAAAGTATGTATACAATTTAACAAGTTATAGATATTTGTATAATATATAATACATTAAATTAAAAAGATATATTATTATACTTGGCACTTTTTAAGACCAACTTGTGAACGAATTATTACAAACCACGCCAACTAAAATATTAAGAGGCTGCAAAATGACTTTATTACTCAGAATACTGCGGGTAAAATATGTTTTATATAAAAATATACTATTCAATAATTTGTCAATTGTTCATTATTATTTATTAATAAGAATATACAGTCTTAAAAACCGTAATTTAGTTCAGGTTTTATTGTAAGGATTTTTCCTAACTGCACAAATAAAATATTTGTTACAGTGATAAGTAGGGGGGTGAAGCCCATAGGCGTAACTAGTGGGGGAATTGGGGGGCTTAGACCCCCCAACATTAATTTTAGTCCCCCTGTCATAATTCCTAGTCCCACATTCCCGTCAAAAGAAGTAAAATTTTTAAACTTAAATTTAAAATATCGTTTTAGATTCTGAACGAAGTGATGAATGTATTGATTTTACAATGTGTGTGTGTTTTTTTTTTGTGTCTGTGTACAGCATAACTAGTTGAAATAATGCTTCGATTTCAAACTTTGGGGGTGGTTTCCGATGTAAAATTGAAGATCCTTTGAT